CACAGTGCTGGGGACGCTGCTGCACTAACAGACACCACGGCGTGATGCTAAAGGTTACATTTTAAAGCATAAAAAACTATACTGATAACTCGAGAACCTTTAATTTATACAGCTTTTCTAATAAAACAATTTTTTGAATATGATTTCTATTTTTAGTAACGATACAATTAAGGAAAGGTATGGAAGTCTGATTATACTATTTAAACATGTCAGCCAGTCTTCTCCTGAGGAGGATATCAGAGCAAGGTTCAGGTGAAAGGAAGGCTTTGACACTAAAGTCTAGCCTACAATAATGTAAAAGAAATACACACTCCGAATTACACACACGCACACAAACACAGCACACATCTCTGGTAGGAATCCAGCTGGCCGTTGTCCACGCCGGCCTTGGTCAGGTTCAGTGAGCCTCTAATCTGTGAATTAAAAACACAAAGACTCCTCAGATGCTCCAAAAGAACGAGTCACGACAGCAGACCTAGGACTGTTGTTGTGGTTATTTTTGGGGGCTGTGGAGTTGGCTGAAGATGTGTCTCATCAGTATTCACAGAGGCCTCTGTGTATGCCTGTGAATGTGTGTTTGAGAGTGTGTGTATGGGTTTTGTCATTTTAAGGAGGAATACAATGTGTCAGATGTGAGACGATACAGAGACTGAACTTAATTGTTTTCTTCCCTCCACGCTGTGACTCTGTTTGGATCCATGTTTTCTTTCTCTCTCTCTCTCTCTCTCTCTCTCTCTCTCTCTCTCTCTCTCTCTGTGTGTTGTCTTTTAGCTGTTCTGGCTTTGATGGTTCGGTGGAAAATGCATTCTACTTAAAGAAAGTAAAGCAGTTGTTTTCTGACAGATTATTTCCAACAGCAGATGATATGCTACACATTTCTAACTAGCTGACGGACTCTGTCACCCCTTTCCTACATGAGCTGAACTCCTGAAAATGTTCCTACATTTCCTTCCAGTCCCCTTGTGAAATATCTGACTGAGGTTGAGATTAGCCAATATGGGAATGCAGCAGGTAATAGTATGGAACATTTAGTGCAAGGAAGTGGATGAGGTTGGGGTTAGGGGATGACGTTGGTCACATTGAGTGAAGTTTGCTGATTTTTGCTGTTTTTTTTCTTGCTGGCTTCAGTTACCATTTGTACTACTTTCTGTCTGTTTTGTGGATACATCCTTATTATTGCTGTTGTGATAACAAACTCAAAAAAGGTCACTGCTTTGGAAGACTCCTCCTGTTGCTCCCCATGCTCGCTCTGACTAAGCTGCCCACAGTTCTGAACAAAAACAGAACACAGCATTTTAAGTTGTGAGAGCGTGTCCGACAACAGATAAATCTCCCTCTGTGATTGAAGGTCAGTTCCTGAAAATATCAGGGCCCGAATGTCCCGAAATTATTTAGAAAATGTCACATTTGAAAGAGGCTTATGTTTGACATCTGTGGTGTTCGGCTGATGCTGTGATAGAAGCAGATTAAGAGCAGAAGTTTCAGCCGTCTTAAAGGAGGTGGGAAAATAACAGAGTGTGTTCTTAGAATGCGTAGCATGTGGTTGTAGTTGCCTTTTAGGAGATTACAACATGATGAGTGTCTGACTTGGCATATCATTTAAGTGTTGTGTTATGTATGGATATATATTCCAGCCAATGAGCTTTCAAGGTGTAAATTGAACACTTATTACAGCACACTAGACGTGGTCCAACACTGATATCAGTATCAGAAAATGCCTTATTTAAACTCTTACATAGGATATTGGGTTTTGTTCTTGTTCTTGTTTTGGACGATCCCAATGGTACAAAATTCTGTTACATCAAAAAAAGACTCCTCACAGACAAAATCCAACATTTTGAATAAACACAAGGTACTTGTGCCCTAATGAAAGGATGAGGGCTCAATGAAGAAACCCCTTTTCCCAAGTATGCTGCTATGCACTACTGATAAGTTACATAACCTACCTCCTCATGGCCCGTAGTTGCCAAAGCAACCAAAATGGCACCACTACCTTCAACAGACCCAGGCTACTTTTATACAATGTCGATACTGCCTACCCAATTCCCTATTATTGGTCCCTTCAACTCAACCCTGACTGACATAACCAAAAGAGTCAGCTAGATCAAGGACATCATAACCAGTCAGGGAATCATAGACCAGAACTAAACTCTGTATTTGTGGATTTTAAAATGTATATATTGGAATGCCTGTTAAAGGTAAAAAATGGTAACAGTACACAAGCAGGTGCTAGTCTAGCAGATTGTAAAACTAAAAACTTTGGATTCACCTTTTGACATCTGGTTATTTTCTCCTGACCTGTCCCCAAGCTTGATGCCCTAAGCCTGTGTCTCGCTATGTGTGCGAATGTGTGCAATTAGTTTACTTAAAGATTAAACATTGGTGTCACGCTAATTTGCACCAGAATCACTTGCTGTTGAAACTAATTATGTTTATTTTTATTAATTCAGGCACAAAAAGCCAAAATCAAATAATGTATGTATGCTGAAATGCAGCCGTCCGCCACTAGCTGGGGCTGTAGTTCTGGTTAATCCTCTCCCTCCTCTACTACACGGATGTAAACCAGCACAGACGACTTCTCAGTGTTGGCCATGTCAGGGTTATACTGGCATACGACCATTCGAACAGACCAATGTGTAACCAGCACAGGCATGAGAACAATGAACCTGCTCTGAGGACCGAAGGCTGATGGTGCAAGAACTGCTAACTTCAGCCACATTTGGGAAATCTTTCTGACATCGTGGTAGGAAAGTGATGTCAGTCCAAACCTGTAATTATTTTCTTTTAAACTGACCTTAAGTAAACAGAGCTCATGTAAAAAGTGTAAGATATTGAATTTTAGGAGAGGATTAGATCAGAAGGTCTATATGATTCAGATAAGGCCCTAACCTTTCCTTTCAAGTCAACCTTTAACTCCCCATTTTCAACATTTTCAACGGCAGCTCCACATCATGTCATCATTTTTTTTTAAGATTTATTTTTGAGCATTCTATGCCTTTGTTGTAGAGACAGGACAGTGGATAGAGTGTAGAATCAGGGAGAGAGATAGTGGGGAATGACATGGGGGAAAGGCGCCACAGGTCGAATTCAATCCTGGGCTTGCCACTGGAGGACTATGGCCTCCGTACATGGGGCGCACGCATTAACCACTAGGCTACCAGCGCCCCATCACGACTATGTCTCAGTTTTCATTTCCCTTCCTACAGCTATCATCTCTTCCTTCTCTCTCTCTCTCTCTCTCTCTCTCTCTCTCTCTCTCTGTGTTGCTGTCACATCCTATGAGCCGGCAGGCCCGTGTTGTGTTTTGGCCACACAGGGCAGGCTGAGGCTGAAGCCGCCTGACTCACAACCTCACGGCTGTTGAGAGACAGAATGTCACTGCACATTGGGCTGCCTTCATGTTACACACGACGCACGACGAACACGCAGCAAACAAACCTACAGAGGGAAAGTACACACACGCAGATAGAACACACTAAGAGCCAGCCAAGCTGATCTCAAATACACATATACACAATAGACACACACGCTGGGCAGAGGCTATTTTTAGCCTGGCCAGTCGTGTGCAGACTCATATGCAACAGCAAAATGCACATGATGGCTGTGAATAAATGTGTGTCATATTTTGATTGGCCGTGCTGTCGGACAGTGATGGGTTCATGTTGTCACCTCTGTCAGGTTGGGGATGGAGGAACAGAGTGGTGTCAAAGTGATATCTCACTCACGGCTGCTTCACACTGAGCATGTTCAAATCACAACACATCTTCCTTTGGTTCAGGTGTTTGGCAGAGTACCGCAGGGCCGTGCTACCTGACCAAGACTGAAGCCAAATCAGTTCTCATTTGGTCCATGAAAATGAAGTTTGAAAAAAAAAACTTGAACAGAGCTGAGTAGGGCAACCACCGTCTGCAACGATACCAAGCTGTCATCATGACAAAAGCAATCGACGTCCTGTTAGCTTCAAATGACATAGGTTTTCATACATTATGTGACTTTTAGGTCAACTAATAAATGTGCTTGAGCTTGTATAGCGCTTTTCCAGTCTTCTGAATACTCAAAGCTCTTTTCACATTGCATGTCACATTTATCACACACTGATGGCAGAGGCTACTTTGCGACCTCCAGACCACTTTTTTTTTTCCAGATGTACAGTATATGGACATTCAGTGGAGTTGAATACGGGTGTATGCGGTTCCTGGTTCAAATCCCGTCGGACAATGCCTCTCTATGTTGAATTTGCATGTTTTCCCCGTGTTCTCTCCCAATACCCCAGCTTCCTCCAAAAGTCCAAAGAATTATAAATTGCCCTTACATGTGAATGTGAGTGTGGCTGGTTGTCTGTCTCTGTATGTCATCTCTGTGATTGACTGGCAAACAGTCCAGGGTGTAACCCCGCCTCTCGTCCAATGACAGCTGGGATCGGCTCCAGCCCAGCGCGACCCTGAACGCGAAAAATCTGTTTAGGCAATGGATGAATGGATGGATAGATTGAACGTCATTGTTCAACATCAGTTTGAATTATAATGTAAAGTCTTGTAAAAAAATAAAGAGAGCAATAAGTTCTTTATTTCAATAGAAAACAGAAGCTGTGTGTTTTGTGCTGCATCAGCTTTTCATGTCTTTGTCTTTTCTTTGCCGTGGGATGTTTATATATATTTGGCATGAAGAGAGTTTAATTGAAAATCGCTCACAGGCAAAAGCTGTTAAAAGTCAAAAGATTAAACAAACAGATCATGAGAAATGTGGCTCGGTTTATGCTGCTTTGTCTTGTGTATATATCTTTGGATAGGGACTATTCATGCCCTACTTTTTATCCTGTGCCTCCTTACTGGATATTAAATGCAGTCGTCCATTTGACTTGAATTTGTGTGGGTCACCTTGATTACATTGTCCTTGTTTATTGTTTCTATGTTTGTTCGAATGATTCCCTCAGGAAATCTTCCTCTCTCATCTGAAGTTCATCTTTTAATATTTGTGTTTGTGTTTTTTTTTCTCTGCAGCAATCCATGAGTTCCCCAGGGATTATTTCACCAACCAGGAGCGCGTTGATGGAGCAGTGGGCCTGCACGTCCTCTGTGTGAGTCTCACCTGCAGCACTGTTCTAACTCCACACTGTTAGTAAAAGGTTCCAGTGTTTGTTAAGTAGCCCTTGCTTTCATCATGTGGGAAGGTTCAAATGAATTATACAACATTGAGCAGCATTAGAAAAAGCCACTGTGAAGGATATAAGCAAGCTAAAGTTGCAAAAATGTTATCTGGGATTTTTCTTTGCCTGCTTCCCTTTCAGGAAATCTGTGCTCAAACAGGTTGTTTAACGATTTTACCTCCTGCTTGGAGGACTATAGCCTCCGTACATGCGCGGCACACACTAACCAGTGCTCCACCAGCGCCCCAGGGATTTTGATGGTTATAATCACATGCTAGCAAGTCTTTCATGCAGGGGTGTTATAGGAAAGCCTTCCTGATAGTGCACTTCATATTTCAACATTTTTGGAGGTAGGATGCACAGTAAAATAAACCAGTTATTATTGTCTGGGCTGTCTTAAAAAAAGTTGACATAATTTTAAATGGTAAATTCAAAAATACACACACATTCCTGGTCAAATTAACCTGTATGTGTAATCCTTTAATAACAAGACATATTTTTGATAGAGTGGTTTAGTAAACACATGGCCAGGTTGCAGCTATAAATTAAACAGGATTAAAACCAAAGAATTCTGACTGTGAGGGGTAAACATGGTGCATGTTTTTAGTTTACAATAACAGCAAACAGCATTGGTAAATGGTAAATAGACTTTGAAAAAAAAAAAAGCACTTTTTTTCATGATAGGTCACACTTCATTCACACCCATCCACACACAGATGGCAGAGGCTGCTATGCAACGTGTGCATCGGCATTAACTAATCTACTCATACACATTCACATGCATGCTGACTAAGCAGCTGGAGCAATTTGGATTAACCTGGGATCTAACATCCGACCTTCGAGACGACTTACTCTACCACTGAGCCACAGCCACCCCACATCATAAACAGCAACTGACCTCTGTAACAGATCAGAAAACGAGAATAATTCTCTTTAAAAGATGATTAAATATATAATTCTGTATAAAACTGGGAATGACAGAAATAATGGCCTGTCTTCGGGGGTTAGGGACATTCTCTTCAAGTCAGCAAGGCATGCTTATCTCTGCATGTCATGAACATATCTACAGTTTTACACAGACATCAGCCACAAAGTGATCTTACAATGACACAACATACAGATAATAAAAATAGTAAGAATAATGCAATTGCCACAACAGGTAACAGAGGAGGAGGTTCACAGTGATCGCACTGAAATGACAAACTGACTGTGGAAGAGAGAGAACAGGTTTTAAAATGTGGCCGTGGCAGGATGATTGGTTGAGAGAGGTTGGGGCAGAATCTGGTTGGATTATTACTTACTTGAGTAAACGCCCCAAATCAGCTGATCACCAGAGCAGGGAGATGGAGGGAGAGGTAGAGAGAAGAAATTGAATAAATGTGTGAGAGAATATAACCAGTCTTCCTGCTTGAACTTACACTGAGCTCCATTTGTAGTGTGTTTGACCTGAGGGAGTGAGTTGCCTGATAGGAGTGAATGATTTCAGCCAGATAATCTGGAGCCTGACATGGAGCCAGTGAATGGATTCAAGTACAGGAGTGAGACCTTTTGTTTGACCTTGTTAGTACTCTGGCTGCAGCGTTTTTTACTGATTGCAAGTGATTGAGGGCAGACATACTGAGAGAGGTGAAGAGTGAGTTACAGTAATCAATGCGGGATGAAATGGCATTTATGAGCATTTCAATGAGTGGTTTACTTATATTTCGTAGATGGAAAAAAACCTGATTTGGTGAGCTGTTTAATGTGACTGTCAAATGAAAAGGATTGATCAAAAATAACTCCTATTGCAGAGACTTGAGCATGCAGCAGTGAAGAGGGACCCCAACTTCTGTTTTATCAGTTTTGAGCTGTGAATAATGGCCTGCCATCCAGTGCTTTACAATATTTATGAAGTTCAGGAGGTTCAAAATCTTTCTCACTGGTTTTAAAAGTGAAGAGGAGTTGTAAGTCAAATGCGTAAAGATGATATGCTATTATATTAAATCTGCTTATGAACTGTCGTCAACGTAGGGGGCAAAGGCATGGGTCCCAGGACAGATTCCTGTGGAATCCATATCCACCATGGAGAGGACCCAGATACACAGTCACAAATACATACTGCAAAAGTTCTGTCAGTAAGAAAGGAAGAAAACCTATCTAATACCGTGCCTGAACTTCCCACCCAATCATGAAGCCTCTTCACCAATCTTAATGATAAAAGTAAGAAATCCAGTAAAATCTGTTAAGAGGTCAATATATCAAAACACAATGAAAAGGCAGTAGCCTTCCAATTTTAGTGAGCTATAATCAAATGAAGGTTTCTGTGCTCACCAACTGACAGAAGAACCTGTTATTGTAGTCCACAGAAAGAACCTCCACCATGCCCGGACAGATTGGGAGTCCCAATTAAAGAACAGTATGAGGGGCACAATTCTTTTGAATTCTATGTCCATTTGCCAGGTTTCAATCAGGAAAACCTCTCCCTTGTAAACAAGTCATTCAAGATATGTGCCTTGTTACCCACAGACCGTGCATTAATAAGACACATTTTAATAGATGCCTTGGTCCTAATAACTACAACAAAAACTGTAAATCATTTTGACTGTGTAGGGGTCAAGGACCTTTAATGAGGTTGATGTAAGAGCCTGCAACCCTTAAAACTATGACAGGTTTTCCTATTTTGTCTGTGAACTTTTTCTTCTTTTTTTAAGTTGCCCAAAAATCAACCCCCATCGCTTAAATATGTCAGAAATAGGCAAGTTTTAATGTAATTTGCTCAGCTTTCTGCTTAATAATGTTTTTTTAATTATACTTTCTTGCAAGGTAATTTGTTGCAGCTTATCTCCAATCATGGATCGCTAACTGGCGTAATAATCTAACTGGCAATCTGTCATCTAAGTTAGATGTTAAAAGTAATACAAGTCTCTCAGCAGTAAAAGGTGTTTGGCGTTTTTTTTAAGATTATCAGAGCAACTCAAATTATACTATGTCTTTGTAAAGCAAGCTAGTTTGACCATTTATTGTCATAAATTTAGTCGCTCATTAAATGGTAAATGGACTTCAGCTTGTATATCTATCTTCTTACTACTCAAAGGGCTTTTACACCGCAGGTCACACTGACACATTCACACACTGATGGTTGAGGCTGATATGTAAAGTGAAATTCAGAAGTAACTAATCACATTCATACACATTCATACATCGCAACGGGAGGCAATTTGGGGTTAAGTGTCTTACCCAAGGACACTTTGGACATGTAGCTGCAGGAGCTGGGGATCAAACTCCGAACCCCGGTTGAGAGATGACCGACTCTAGCATTTGAGCGACAGCCCATTAGACACTGGGGTGCTCTTATTCTACAACTACAACTTAATTTTGTCTGTACAAAAATTAAAATCTAAATTCAGAATGATTAAGGTTAAAGTGAGGGTTGGAAAAAGTTCAAAGTGCAAAGAAGCTCATACTGTTTTATGAAATATTAGCCACTGAGCTAGTTTAGCAACATTATTATATTTTAATAAACTGTTAGTTTTTCATACCACCAACAGTGAGCAGTATGACGGCTTTGTGTTTTGGTGTTCAGAGCAGTGAGTTCTCTCACATTGTTTATTTACAGTTTGTACAAAATACGTAAGAAAGATATTTTTGTATATATGCCCACAGCCCACACATAACAAATCCATATTTATCTCCTGCCTGTCTCTAATATAAACCTGTGATGGACTGATAGAAAAATGGGGGAAAGTAGTACAGTGCTACTTTATAATAACACACACACAGAATACATTAAAGTGTAGCCGCCCACTGAGCCTGCTGCCAGGGCGCTGTAATGCAGAAGTGTTTGGCAGATGTTGAGCAGAGGCTTATGTGTAATGCTAGGACACTCTGACAGACTGTCTAAAGATTCAGACACCAAACAGAGGTTACGTAACTCCCCAAAATTATATTCATGTCTATTGAAGCCTGGTATGCCCACCTGAAAACTACACTCATGCCAGCAGAATCTACTGAAGTGAAAAAAAATGGTAATCCTCTGCAGTTTGAGACATGGAGTTAATTTGCATGTGACCTCTGTTGTTGTGAGATCATTGCTCATCTGTATTTCACCCCATCACTCTGTGTTATACCTAAAGATATCTTTAGCAAAACTGCATTTGTATTCTAAAAAATGAAGCTTTTGCTGCTGCAGACCTTGACCTGGTCCTAAAGTCACTACCTCCCATAGTAGTTTTAGAAACAGTAGGTATCACATGAAGGCCTGCATCCTGGCAGTTCAGTGTTCTAATGGGGCAATAAGGCACAATGAGCTCTTTCAGATTTGATGGTGCCTTACCATTGAGGGCTTCTTAAGTGAGAATAATCATTTTAAATTATATTCTAGATTTGATTGAGAGTCTAGAGTATATTGTAAGAGATGCTAATATAGGAGTGTTATATTTTCCTAGTTCTAATTGGTAAATGTGCTGTAGCATTTTGGGTCACTAACCTTTTCCTCTGCAGGATTCAGAATTAGTATTTCAAAGGTGGAGGTTTGAGGGAGGATCACTTGCATTGTGCATATTTGGTAGAAACATCTGGACACATGTTCATTTAGAGCAGATGTATTTACGGTATTTAACACTCATTTATTTAGGGTTAGTTTAAAACCTGCGGCTGTCTGTTGTTTATCCAAGCATTTCTATAAACCTGTTCTTATCCACATCCTTCTTTATTCTCCATTCATTTTACTGAAACAGCATCTGAAAGAGGTAGACGTATATATTGCTAAAGTTTCTTAAGAAGCTATTATTTTATTAAGCACATAACTTGTCACTCCTTACAGGAAAATCTGACATCTTATTGATTTTTTTTATTCCATTCCGGCTAGCCTGTATTGGTTTTTTTTCTGTGTTGTATAACCTCTGCACCCTTTCCTTTACAGATATTTTCAAATCCATCGAACAGATACATGAAGAAGTGTCTTCCAGATTTGAAAATGTAGCCTGCTGTCTGCAAACATAAAGATGTTTCTGAAAGAATAAAAGTTCATTTTTCTATCGGTTTATTTTTGCATCCACTTGATATGTTTCACTACTCAATTGTTATTTTAGCTCTTGTCAGGTAAACAAAGATAGAATCAGTGATTCAGCTGTAAACAGAAAATGGATTACCAATGTTTTTTTTCAGGGGATGTTTTGGCAAGCTGCTGGTGTATTGTTCCTCACCATGTGTGTGTGTGTGTGTGTGTGTGTGTGTGTGTGTGTGTGTGTCTCTCTCTTTGGCCCCTGCAGGCAGTCTACATGTTCTATGCCCTGGCTTTGGTGTGTGATGACTACTTTGTCCCCTCACTGGAGAAGATATGTGAGGTAAAAACAAAACACTGCAGGTTATAAACGCACTTCAGCTGAGGTTACATCAGCTCACATGAACTCTCAAAGTAATGCTTAGTGATGTGTTTCTTTTAAGAGTAGTGTTTTTCTGTCTCTCTCTCCTCATCCAGCGTGTTCAGCTGAGTGAGGACGTTGCAGGAGCTACCTTTATGGCAGCAGGAAGCTCGGCTCCTGAGCTGTTCACCTCTGTCATAGGTAAGACACACGCACCCTCACCCTCACACACACACACAACCGCTCCTGCTGGATATGGCCTGTTCTCTAATAAACACAAAAAGCGATACAATATTTTGCAACAGCTTTGATTTTCCTGCTCAATCTATAGTCACATCATCAATTTTCAAATTTTCTTCACAATTAGCACATCTGTCTGAGGGCGGACATGCCAGTGACAAAGATGTAGTTGTTTTCAGAGATCCAGTTGTCAAATATTGCATTGAATGCAAGCTCATGAAATATCAACATTTTGGACCATTCTTCTGTATTGCATGTAATCTCAATGATGTCATATCTAGAAACCTGTGTGACCACTCGTGGAGGGTGACATCTTTTATAAGGAGTTTAAAATAGTTCAAGATGTAAAAGCTTACTATGCAACTTCCAGAGCAGACTGTAAGACCAAAGCAAACACTCTCTCTTTGGACACACCTCCTTCAGCATCACTCAGCTTCCAGCGTCTCTCCACACTTCCCCCTGCGAGACAGACAGTGCTGTAAACATCCCAAAAACAAGACTGGTCTATCAATTCCAAGTGACAATATGCATCTCAAAGTTCAGTGTTTCCCCTACCATTATATTAGGGGGCGGCCCTAATATAATGGGGAAGAATGCATTAGAAGAATAAAGTGTCAAAAGACATTAATATGAAACCATTAATGAAAAAACAAAACTATTCAGTCACCATAGGCAGCCGTTATGGATCAGTCGGCTCCTTGACTGCCCTCCCACCACGGTACCATGTCAACATCAGCATAACACCAACCAACCAGGGTGAAGCCCAAATGTTGCAGTAAACAAATGGTCATGACCTGTGTTTGTGTATCTGCTGTGCAGGAGTTTTCATCACTAAAGGTGACGTCGGGGTGGGCACCATCGTGGGCTCAGCAGTGTTCAATATCCTCGTCATTATTGGAGTGTGTGGGATATTCGCTGTACAGGTACAGTACAAAATGTGTGACTAGTCTAATCTAATCAAACCATCAGCAAGCATTTTAAACAGTGCAAACATTCAGTATGCATTAGGTCTGTCAGCATTAACTAGTTAATCATCATTTATTAAGGTTTGAAATTAAGGAATTCATTTTTTTTATGGCAATTAATCCCATGATGTTTTGTCCCTTTTGGTTTACCGTAGATTAGCCTCTACAGTGTCTCCCTGTAGTCTCAGTGATGAAAAAGAAAGACACTTCTGCATCTTTGAATGTCTATTTTCACTTAAAAAAAAACTTCTTAACAGCTCAGTTGTCAAGTCCAAAGTATTATCCATCTGATGACAACATTTAATATTTTTTGACTGTTCACTTTAGCTGTTTTACTTAACCTAGTTTAACCTTTGATTTAACAGAAGGTAGGGCTTTCCTTGTTTAAAAATAAAAGCATGGCTGAATTCAAATGGCAAGTTAAGGACTCTCAGCTTAAGACAGTACAAAATTTCAAAATAAAAGTCTAACAATTTTTATTTTAAAATGCTAAATAATGGAATTTCAATCATGTGGTTAAAAATGCAATTGATCACAATGAACTATTTAAATGTTGTGATTAAACATGTTGTTTGATCGCCCTGGTATTAATCCATGTAAACAATGACAGTAAAAGCTCCAGCTAAACTCTAATGAACTGAAAAATGGCTACATGAGCGTACAGAACAGACAGAGGTTACAAAGTGTGCTGACCTTTTTTTTGTGTCTAAACAAACCAAATGTCTGAAGTTTTTAGATGATACATCACATTATAAAGCTTGAAATGACTCTGCTCTCTCTCTCTGTATGCATTTATTTTGCAGCATTGTCCTGTTCAGTGCTGTAATCCCACAAGGAAAAAGAGAAACATACTTGAAAGAATTTTTTTTCCTAGTTAGATTACATGTTACGTAAGGCCAAAACAGACACGCACACACACTCACAGAGCTCAGTTTATCTTGTTTGTAGTGCACAGCAGCAAGTACCTTGTGGGATGTGTTACTCAACAGGACAAAAAATAAGTTTTAGCACTGTCTCACCCCTTTGTTCCTGTCTGTCTGTCTGTCTGTCTGTCTCTCTCTCTCTCTCTCTCGCTCTCTCTTTCTCTCTCTCTTTCTCTCCCGCAGACAATACGTCTCTCCCGATGGCCTCTGATGAGAGACTCGATCTATTATACCTTATCTATCTCTGCTCTTATAGTGGTAAGGAAAAATGTCATACAAGTCATGTTACATAATTCTACCTTATAAGGGCCACACTAAGCAAAGCACAATAACATTATAATTCATGTTCAACTACTTCTTTACTTACTATACACAAGCAGTAATGAGGAGGGTGTTGGAGACAAACTCTTAGTTAATAGTCCATTAGCTATGTGGCCATGTAGAATAAGATACTAATAAGACCTAACAACGTCCAATAAGAAGCCACTATGCTACTAATTAGCATGCTAGTAATCAGCTAGTTAATGGTGAATATTGTGTCCTTGATATAAAGTGTTACCGTGATATTTTTGGGGAATTGGTACAGTCTTTCAAAACGTAAATCATAACCCATGTGTGTACTGATGTTTTCCACTATGAAGGAATTTATCAATGAATGGATTACATGTTGATGAAGTCATTGATTTTCACTTCTTTTTCATTTTCGTCCTTTTTATTACAGTTTATATATGACGAGAAAGTGGTTTGGTAAGCCTTTTTTTTTTTTAGTATTAAAAATTTGATATTATTTCACCTGAGTCTCTTAGTAACATTTAAGACCTAAATTGTAAAATAATTCAGATGGTTATTTAATCCAAACTCTGATTTCCAGGTGGGAAGCTCTCACGTTGATCCTGATGTACTTCGTCTACATTTTAATCATGAAGTAAGCACACAGATTTATATTTCTGACAACACAGTAATAACATGTTGTGGCTTTTTCTTAAACAGTCATTAACTTAATGAGGGTAATTAAATACTGGACTCCCCAGACTGTTGAACGCTTTTAACCTGTGGAGGGAAAGTCTGATGTTCAGTCAAAAAGACTCCACTAGAGCTATCTTTCTGCTACACGTTTTTCATATTAAAGGTTTTGTGAGGACCAACCATAAAGGGTTTTTAAAGCTTGTTGTTTTTAAACTAGCTACAAGAAATACGTTGTGGTCTGTGGAATCCATTGTTTGCATTATTTTTTATAACCACATGGAGAAGATTTGATATACAGTACCTCTCATATTATGAATTTAAGTCATTTGAAACAGACTTTCTTTTCACAGTCTGAAGTAACACCGATAACAAACTAGAACACAGATGAGGAGCCTTTATTAGAACTTATCAGATAACTGTAAGTAATGCACATTTTCCCTGATGTATGTTTCAGGTGTAACTCCCATGTTGTCCGTTTTCTGGAGAGGCGGAAGAAGAACTCGTCTGGTTTGAGGAATGGAGCAGCCAGTAACGCTGAATTAGAGGACGGCTGTGATGCTACGGCTGTTCTTCTAAAGAAAGGTTCATTGTTTTACTATGCTATATCTTAAAGCGCTAACGTTTGCATTTTTAGCTTCCAGTGTTTGTGCTAAGCTAAGCTAAATGCCTCCCTGCTCAGTTGACATACCTTAGACGAGAGCCTGAGTGATATGTTGATCATCTGTTTGGGTTGAGTTACAACTTATAGTTAAAAACACTTTCAGTACTAATCTGCTGCTTATGTAACGTAGCATCACAGCTGACAAGATAGTAGTCTGAACTAGGGGTGGATAAAAATATACAGTAGTATAGTTTTCTGTTTAAGAAAGACTTGTTCTCTTGCGGTCATAAATGCATGTGTACATGTGTAATAACCTGCCTCTGTGTGTGTGTGTGTCCTACAGCGAACCACCACAGGAAACCTTCAGTGCTGATGGTGGACGAGCTGCTGTCAGCGTACCCCCACCAGCTCTCCTTCTCTGAGGCCGGCATGAGAATCATGATCACCAGCCACTTCTCCCCCAGAACGCGCCTCACCATGGCCTCACGAATGCTCATCACCGAGGTAAGGATTCACACAGGCGCTCTGAAACAGCACCTTTGATTGGAAAGGGGTAGAGAAAAAAAAAGATTGCTGCCATTTCCAATTTGTAGCAGACTGCGGTGTGTATTTCTCAGAGGGGAAAGGTGTTTCAGACGGCTTCTTTAACAAGGTGTTCTGGTGCTGAGTAGAGGCCACAGCCTACAAATCAGCTTTCTGTGTTTTTGTGCGTTTCTCGAAGGACTGGTCAAGGCATGATGTAGACACCTAGGTCAACAATGATCATTTATCATTTGGCATTTCACACTTTAAATAAATTATATAAAAACAACAAACAAATTAAATAAAGTCCTTAAATCAAAGTCCTACCCACAATGCCAAGCTGTTGCAGCTAAATTCACTCTCTCTCTCTCTCTCTCTCCTCTTTGGTCTTCTTCAAATTAAGTTTTTCCTGCTACAGCATACAAAGAGTACATGCTCATTTCATTTAGGAGTCCATGCTGTGCAGAGATGATACCTAGAAAGTTTTGCATATTTCTTTGATTTCTGAATTGTACCGTTGTCAGTGCTGCCTCTACTCACAGTTCAGCTAGTTGTCTTTATAGACATAATCCTTTACATGGATCCTTCCATTTAAATCATTATATCCAAAACTTGTTTACAAGCTGTAATCACGTTTGAAATGACATTTCCATGAATACAGTAAGTATGACGATGACAAACTGGTATCGACTGATGATCCAGTAGACAGCTCTACTAGTTAGCTGCTTTAGCTAACGCCTAGCTGTACACACAACATGAGCTTAATGATGTAGTCTTAATGATGGATGTCTAAATTCAGAGCATCATAGTAAGGGTGACCATATTTTTTTAAATCCACCGCAAACCCAAACAATTGATCCACAGATCAGTGACCTGCACTGGTCACATGAGGTGGTGAGCAAAGGTGCCTTTCAGAGCAGCCAGTTTAAGTTGGTTGTCACAGGTTATTGAAGTAGATGGTAACAGGGCTACTTCCAGCCTGCACATACTGTTTGCTCATTTTAATATGGCTTTGTATGGTGACTTTCCACAGTGGGCAAAAATATATGCAAAACGCAGCATATTCACTGCCTGGTACTTTTCAAAGAAGACTGTAATGCTCCTGGAGCTCTTTGGAAAACACTGATTTCCTTTTCGGCACGACAGCTAGCCAACAAATAACATCATCTGTCAGTCAGATTCTAAATAAAGATTTTTTACATTGTGTCTCCATGCAGCCTTTCAACCATCCCACCAATCACATGTGACCACAGTTACTAACATACGTTTAGATTGGGTTTAATCACAGTTTACTGTAATATAAGAAGAAAAAAGGCCAAGTGTCGCTTCTATACTAAAGCTAAATCTCAATTCAAATTTTGATATTGAAATGTTTTAGGCATTATCATGCTCTCTCCATGAATGACCACGCTCTGTCTGTCTGTGTGTGTGTGTGCATGATATAGAGGCAGCGTCTCATCAACACACGGACTTTGACCAATGGTGACTCTGATGTCCCGGTGAAAGGAGGAAGTAGGCGGGGCGTAGAAAATGGCCTGTCTGGAGCCGAGAGGGCCATCAGCGGTCGCCATGACGACCGAGAGGGGGGCAACGAGACAGAGAACGAGGACAACGAGAACAACGAGAATGATGAAGAGGAAGAGGAAGATGATGGAGAGGGACCATTGGTTCCCTTCCAGTGCCCAGGTACCTGCTGGAGACAGATCTGTGTTCACCTACAGAAATGTTTCAGTTTTCACAGTGTCAGCTAATGAGTAATATTAGCTGTTAAAGATGTGCGATGTCATTACCCCCGCCTGCTGAATTTTCAGTGCACATATTTCCTGCTGCGTTTGTCTCACTCCTCCATCTTGCCTTCTTTAAATATTCTTTCATTCATCTGTGTCACACTTTGCAATGATACACATCCTGTTGATCAGATTCTGTAACTACGCATATATTACTCGTGCATGCAATTCAAATGCATCTATTGTATGCATAAACAATGGAGTGAACATGTCCCTGCATTTAAAAGCTATGAAGTCGGAAATAGACCTGCATCTTATTTAAAACTGATGAATCAGAAAGACAGCTATGGTCATTGGTAGACAACAGTATTTACTGTAAGAGGACATAATCATCTGTCTCTCTTTGCCCTTTCTTTCTGTTTACTAGGACAATGTATCTCAGTCTTGACACTGTATCTTGCTCTGTGTGTTTTTTTGTAGCGGGTGTATGCAACAAGCTAAAGTGGCTTCTAGCCTGGCCCCTGTGCCTGCTGCTGTACTTTACCGTCCCTAACTGCTCCAAGCCCCGCTGGGAGAACTGGTTCATGCTGTCCTTCGTAGCCTCCACTCTGTGGATCGCTGGCTTCTCCTACATCATGGTCTGGATGGTAAGAGATGGATAATGGCTAACTATTTACAAAGATGTAAACACTTTTTAATGTTAAACAACGTCATGTTGGGCCCTAGCTTTCCCAGTGATGCTACACAGCCTTAGCCTTCTTGATATAACTATTTAATCCTTTATGCTTTTTTTGATAGGTCAACTGAAGAGAGAGAGAAAAAGTAGGGGGGATAGCGTGGGGTAGTCATGCAGCAAAGGGCATAGGTTGGAGTCAGACCTGCAGGCAATCCGCCGAGGTATGTAGTGTCTGTAAGGGGCTCGTGATTACCAACTGTGGCGGTACCACAATGGTGGAAAAACAACGAGCAGGACCCACGTGCAGAAACAAAAAATATTTATTTAAACAAAAAAGAGAAAAAACAAAATGTATTTCTTTAAGTAGAAAAAAGTCCAGCAACAAACAAATCCCAAAGAAGAAAACCATAAGCCACAAGGACACGTTATCAAAGCAACACAAGGAAGATCTGACAATGAACTGACAAGAAGCGGGAAGGAACACTGAGGCTAAATAGACACAATCAGACACAGGTGAAGACAATCAGGGTGATCAAACTGGAGGGAAACCGGACAAATGGAGGAAGTAAGACAAGACAAGAAACACAGGGGACAAGAACTACAAAATAAAACAGGAAACACTAAAGACATTACTAGGGAAATGCACAAACAGAGAAAAAGAGAAACACGATGATACAGATGAAAAAAACAGAACAGAACACTGAAAGCTTTACCTAGAAATATGACCATTAAGACACCCAGAGGGATTAAAGCTACATGGCAAAAAATACAAGGATGGATGTCAAAATAAAACAAATTTAAATCTTAACACTGAAATAAACAACCACACAAAATATTTTACTCTTTCCAAATTAACTTTATTTCCAATGTTTCGAAATATCTCAGGTTGCAATTCCAGGAAAATGCATAAATGATTCTGTGTATGAGTCATATGAACAAGAATGCAGTCAGATGAATAGTTTGAGTAGAAACAAACAGCATTGATACGGTGACTGATAAACTAAAACTAGTTTTGAATTGTATTTTCTAGATTGAAGAACAGACGAGATCTGCTCTTCCATTGCCACTGCTGGTTATCGTGTTTAAGTGAATCCAGCCGACCCTCTACAACACCAGAGCCATTCAGTTCAGTCAGACAACTCGTGTTTTTACTGTATTCGTTTCAAATGTTTAATGAAGCAGCAGAACACAGTTTGTGTTTGGCGTCTAGACTCCGACATCAACACTCCTCACGGATGACTTTACATGCAGAAACTTGAGGAGTGATGATATAATACCCGAAACCCCCCTACCGGGAGCCTACAGGTTGATGCTGGGGGGGGTGGTGAAGCTGAAATCAAAAGTGAAGTGCTAAGGCAGGTCAGAGCAATGAGAGAGCAGACAGAGATCTTGAATAAACATTTAAAGGGGGAGATGGTGCAGCTGAGATGGTGAAAGTCCAGAGACTCTAATGTTCTCCACTGTTTAATGTGTCAATGGAGTTTGGTTGCTTGATAGATAATTATTGTAACTGCATTTTTGGTTTGAATAAAATGTTGTTACTTAAAGGCTTTATATGCATTATATATATTATAAATAAACTACTACTCAAATATAATATAAATCAAGTATATCCTCTGAAAATAACTCTGTGAGTCATGACTGTCTACAATGGGTGTAACACCCGAGTCCCACTGTCTGTGATGTTTTCAGAGTTTTCAGAGTCCTATCTTCAGTTTGTTTACATCACCAGGACAGCCAGCTGACTCCTCCCCTCGTGTATAAAAGTTGTTTAATTGAGGGACTAGAGAAAAGAAGAATAACATACTGTACTCACTGCTTAACTGTGTTTCTAGATCACGCTCATTTCAGCTAAATTTACATGCAGTGTGGAGATACCAGCATAATAAAGATCGCTAGCATTAGCATGCTAACACAACAATGCAGCGCAAGTTGTTTTGGTTTCATGCTGGTGCTCAAGGGCGACATCTGCTGGATCAAAAAAACTGCATATAAAGCCTTTAACAAATAGGTCTATATATCCAGGAATCACTGACATAGTGTTGTTGGACACTGGTGATAACAATCTGAGTCTGTATAGCCCAATTTCCACCTAGTGGTGCGGTTCAGTTTGGTTCGGTACGGTACACATTTATTGGCGTTTCCACTGTCAAAACTTGGGAGTGATACCAAAATAACCGTACTATTCTACTGGTACCCTTCGGTGGGGGTGTCAAGCGTACTGATCCGACCCTAAAGGCTGGAGCTAGACAACATGCAGTCCGATTATTGGTCGAAAGAATCTTCACTTCCTGTGCGACAGCGGTAATAAAGGACAAACACAAAACGCACCATGTTTAGATATCCTCTGGATTTGGAGAGACTCGTTTCAAGGCTGTTTTTGTTTCTTTGCGACTACTGTCAGTGCGTAACACCGCCCCATTGACAAGCTCGGAGATGCAGACCTCCCCAGGAGTCAGTGATCTTAGTTTATTGTGTCACGTTATTCTTCTTTATTAAATCTGTAGGCTGTCTACACTGTGTTATGTCTAGTTATGTGTAAGGGTGCTGTGGAAAAGCAAGCAAGATCAGGGTTCACCGTACCAAACTGTACTTAACCAAATCAGACCGCTTGCTGGAAACGGGGCTTATGTAACAAATAGATGTACTTTTAATGGACATACTTGATGGGGTGAAAGATTAGAGGATGATTATGTCACAGCTATTCCTGCAATTTCTCTTCTGCCAGCTTCAGTGAACTACTGGAGAAACCACACATTTCTTTACCCTTTAGTCATTCATACCCAAAAGCATGCAAAAAAAGGGCTTATGGATGATGAGATGAGGTTTATACATGCAGAAACCAATCCCCTCTAAAGGTTCCCCCTGGAGTTTCAGACTACTGAGCTCTTCTCTGTATGAGTGTCTCCTCATTTTTTGTTTATCTTTTGCTTGATAAGATGACATGTCGTGTCACACGAGGACACAAAACTATCAAAAAAAAACAAGCTGTACTATTCTGTCTCTCTCTGTGTCTGTTCTGTCAGGTAACAATTATAGGCTTCACGCTCGGTATCCCAGATGTCATCATGGGCATTACCTTCCTGGCAGCCGGCACCAGTGTCCCCGACTGCATGGCCAGCCTGATAGTGGCAAGACAGGGTAATCACTCTCACATGAAATGACAGGCTAGGAGTTGTCATTTTACACAAACACACACACACACACACAGGTGGAAGATAAACAACAGAATCAAAGTGGAGCCACGATCAGAGAGGGGAGGAGATGACAGCGATAGAGATGGGGTAGAAAGGAGTGATGGGGGGGATAGAGATTGTGGGCCTGTTGTTTTTTTTCCACTGTCCCTCATCCATCCGCTTGGTGAGGCAGTAAAAGAAGACAGCCCAACAGGGTCCCTCTCTGTCCTTTCATCTGTGTTTATTCTTGCTCCTGTCATCAAATATTTAAACGCCACTGTCTGTGTGTGGGGGGCTCGCTTGGAAACTCACTCTTGCCACCACCGTTTAGTCCTCCATCCTTTGCTTTGTTGCTTTACCACCTCCTGTGGGCGTCAAACGGATTTATAGCTTCACTGATCGTCCTACCTATGTTTTAACCTGTTGCTGTGTCATCCCACGACTTCTTGTGCATCCGTTGTCTACTCATTTGATTTTTTCTCTCTCTGTACCTCCCTTTGCCTTTCTCTGTTCTTAAAGTTTAAACTCTGTGTGTCTGTTCAGGAATGGGAGACATGGCGGTGTCCAACTCCATCGGCAGTAACGTGTTTGACATCTTGGTGGGCCTCGGTCTCCCCTGGGCCCTGAAGACTCTGGCTATCAATTATGGCTCTGACGTAAGTACCACTCTCCTTCCCCTTCTTCTCGGGATCACACTGGAACCTGTGAATGTCACACTTTAGTCAGCACAGCAGATTCAAACCAGTGGTAGAGCTAATATCTAACTTTATTTAGAGAACACAGAGAATGAAAATAGGTGCCTCTTACGACTTTGACGGATATCTGGACCTTCTTTCAGTTTCAGCAGTTACCTGTTCACAGTGGTAGGAAGAAAGTCTAAGTTATCAGTCTCCATGTCCACATACATGTTGATGTTTTTTTAATGAAAGACAGTTGTCGTTCAATGGGATGCACTGACTGACAAGGAGACGAGCCCAGGTTGTACTTCTACAGAATTTAATCTGAGGAAGAAGCCCCAAGGACGAGGAGAGTGTGTATTAAGGCCATTAGACGCTCCTCTGTCCCCTGTGTGTTCACTTGAGCAAAGTATTACTTCCTTTTAACTAACATTCATTCCCGAGAACACTGACAGGGATCCTGACAGTATCGTTAGGTAAGTCAACTAGCTTAGCTAGCTTATTAACACTCACTTATGTTATGATGGTGAGATACACATCCCATTACGGAAGCATTATTGACCCGGACTCAAGAAAAACACATTAAAGCCAAGCCTTCGTTTTTCAAATTTCATCCTGCAGCAGTGCCGTTTTTAGTGATTGAAATAGTGTCCTGTGTGCTATATGAGGGTGGCAAGTGCCCTGATCCTTTTATTTATTTTATTTTTTTGCACACCTTGTTTATCCCAAGGGGAAATTCGGGTTTACACTCACATGCACCTCACACACATAGGCCTGAAATACACACACATGCACAAACAGGACCTGTGGACACACATTACTGGGGAGATGTCAGAGTGAGGGGGCTGCTACACAGGGAGCAGGCCAGAGCTTGTTGGCGGTTTGGTGCCTTGCTCAAGGGCTCAAGGGCTCCATGGCTCGGTAAGGAACCTGGCACCTCTCCAGCCACCAGACCAACTTCCATACTTTGGTCCGCACCGGGACTTAAACCGGTTCCCAACCCAAGTCCATACAGACTGAGCTACTGCCGCCCAAAACTTGCAGTTTATCTTAATATCTCTGTTTTTCTGGTGTTGTCACAATGTAAAAAAAGAGATGGACAGTTAACAAGCCTGTGCTGCAGCTCCACAGTGTGTTCAATGGTGACTGTTACCCTCCTATGATCTCTTTGCCCTCCAATCCTCCACACCAGTCACATGAATGAAAGCTCTGAGTATGCTGTGTGCTTAAAATGACAGCATTATTACAGTATGCAGGAGTCAACATGTGGGCATTTTGCAGCTGCGTAGGCACCTTTAAAAATAACAGGTATGCATAATACCTTCAATAACCTGATACAAACTTCTCCACAGCAGGGTCAGAACAACATGCACGACTTTGATTCAAACAACCACATTGTGGCTCCTTAAAATAAACAAATCCACATCACATCGCCCCCATACAACTCTTTGTCATCTGGGTCACACACACAGAAACACTATTTCAATTCATTGGATGAGAGGCACTCGTAAGGCTTTAAAAGCTTAGAGCATTGGGGAAGCAGATAGCATCAAGTTTTCACAGTTTAACTTATTTGAACTTAAGTCCCAGCTTTCATAGGTCTACTCAAAAGGTTTTTACCAATCAACATGTCTAGAGTCGGTGTGTGCAACGGCGGGGTTGGTGTTATATGCTTCTTGGTTAGGTTATCTCTGCTTAATACTGGCTAAATCGTTACACTGTATTCATACTGGAAAGTAGAGTTGTTCAAAGACTTTATTAGAGGCTTGGTTATGTTATGACAGTATTATGGTTTAACACTGTATCCCTCTAACAACAAGCGTTTTATCCCTAAAACACTGACAGGCTCCTCCATCCATTCATTTATTATCCAACACCCTGCACCATTATTCATTCATTCTTAATCCCGTGTGTTCCCACTCACCTGCCAAATGCTGAGAAGCCTAATGACACTATATGACAATCTGGAGCAGCTATGACATAAACCCAGGAGTCAGGATTGATCACAAAATATGATTATGATGATTTTGATCTTGAATTTGCAGATACATGTGTTTGTGCATGATAGAAACGTAGACTGATCTTTTCCTGCAATGTTCAACTTATATTCAAAATGTTATTTGCCCAGCATTGTAGGGGAATTGTTCTTTATTCAGTAAAAAATAGGGAGAAATTATATTTAATAATTGCTTATATCGCCTTTAGATCACATCAAATCTACACATTTAAAAAAAATCATTTTGATGAACACTGACTTGACGTCAGCCTTTGTTTAATGCTGTTATCACTTGGTTTTAGGCAAACTGGGAAACACAAGCAGTTTCAGACATACCCTCATCTCTTAATGTGAAATCCACATTCAAGTGTAAAGTATGAAAAAATTAAAGGTTCTGTCAAACTGTGTCTTTCAACTCAGTCCTCATTTTGCAGCTGAACAGATAAGATGCACATCATTTCTCCTCTACTTGAATTTTGTTTGTGCAGTGTTTGAACACAGCAGCTGATCGAAAAAAAAAAAGTAAGAAAGTATGATAAAAACATAAAAGATGCCCTGTAGTGTGTTTGAGATTATAAAACTGTTTTTTAAAAAGTTTTCCCTGAAACCAGCTGCAGTGCAAGCTGATATCCAGCATCACACGGTAACACTCAATCTGAACACAAGATAGAAATCATCAAGTAGAAATAAGCACAGAGACTGTCACGGAAGTATGTGAACTACACTATCCAAAATTATCAACAAACATGTAAGATTAGTGCTTTTGTCTTGTGCAAAGAAAAAGTAGCTCAAAGGAATTAAAGTGGTCTTAACTACATTGTTGTTATTTGTTCAGTTTTCTCAAATTAGTTAATTAATAGTTTTTGAACAAAAGCATAGTTGTCAATGAAAACAAGACCAACCTAAAGTACCTCAGGGACATACAGTAGTTTATGTGTTTGAAGATTTTCTTAAGTACACTGCCATGTAGCCGACAGCATACTCAATCCCCAGCTCCTGCAGTCACATGTCCGATGTGTCCTTGGGCAAGACCCCAAGTTGCTCCCACTGCTTTATGAACTGAACCACTGAGTATGAACCTGTTTGCATGGGATTAGTTACTTCTGATGGTCACTTTACACAGCATCCTCCACCATCAGTGTGTGAATGTGTAGGTGTGACCTGCAGTGTAAAAGCACTTTGAGCAGTCAGAAGACTAGAAAAGCGTTGTACAAGATCAAGTCCATTTACCATTTAATGGGTGACTTAATTTATGACTATAAATGGTCAAACTAGCTTGTACTACAAAATCCATTTACCATTTCCCATGTATATTGTGTACAAAAGAAACCACTTGAGCAATGTAGTTTTAAAAGGGGGGCATTGTCTGATATCTAATGAGGCCGGTAACCAGGACTTTCCTTAATAAACTGGTAAATTAACCGTCAGTGTTTTATTCTGAAAAATTGACCGAAATGTTTGTTTTTGCTGTTAATAATAGATTTTTAATCGGCCAAAATCAGTGTTGGTGAGTTAGACCTTTAAAAAAAATCAGAAATCAGTAGTACTGTGATATACTGGATGATGTCATAAATGAAGATTATAAAGGCACTGACACTGCTGCCAGGGGCTCTTGGGGTTTTGATGCTTTGATTGTTGTGGGCTGACAACCTCTGCCATCAGGGTGTGAATGTGTAGGTGTGACCTGTCAGAAGACTAAAACAGCGCTGTATAAACTCAAGTCCATTTACCATTCCCTGATCTGGCTAATTGATTGAAATTAAATGAAGCTTTGCGTCCATGCAGGTGACGTGGCCCAGCGGTAATTGGCTAACAGCCTGCTGATTGAATTATTGCTTTTTTTCACTCAGCAACCAATCTCATCTCATTCTCACAACACGGTGGTTCATTTGATCCCTGCTACACCAATGCTGCTCACACTGCACTGCTGCTGCTGGCTAAGCTTTGCCTCCACCACCACAGCCTCCTCCTTTCTAGCTTTTGGTGCACCCTCTTTGCTCTCCCTGGAAAGCTGTGGTGGAATGCTGCTCAGCTAACCCGGTGAGCATCTTTATTGCCGAGCTCTCAGCACCAAGGTCAACTCTATTACAAGCTGGCAATAAATGGTGTGATCTATGACGAGTGTTCCTGACTGAATTGGTTTGATTGAAAATGTTTCCGGTTTGGATTCTGCTGTTTCCAGATCACAAATCTTGCTGAGATGTAGTTAGCATTGTTTTGAGTTGTACATGTATTTGAAGTACTGATGGATTGTGTTGACACTTTGTCTTGTTGCAGATCAAACTCAACAGCAAAGGACTGATCTTCTCCGTCGGCCTCCTGCTGGCCTCTGTGTTTATGACTGTGAGTACACAACAACATGTCAGATTCAGAGTTCTGTCTATTGGTCTGTTTCCCTGCCTGTCTCTCTACCTGCCTGCTCATCCTGTCTCCCTCTTCGGTCCAGGTCCTGGGAGTCCACCTCAACAAGTGGACGTTGAACAAGCGTCTGGGTTTCATGTGTCTCTTTCTCTACTCGGTCTTCCTGTGTTTCTCCTGCCTCATTGAGTACAACATCTTCACCTTCGTCAACCTGCCGACCTGCCGTGACGAATGAGACACACAAACACAGTCGCATACACACACACACACACACACACACACACACACACACACACACACACACACACACACTGATGCACACACTCGCACGAGAAGTGGTGTTTGCGTGAAAGAGACGTGGTATTTGATGATAGATTGAGAGCGAGGAAGTAGAATTAAAAAAAATTGTAAAACAGCAGAAATGATTTGAAGAAAAAAAAAAGGGTCCTGCTTTTATCTCTTTTGTGAGGAGAGATCCGGTTCTGCTCTTTTTCTCTTTTTTTTTTTTTTTTCTTGGTCTTTCTGCACAGTGCAATATGAAGCTGCTCTGGTGTTTGCTCACAACCAGAGTGTGGGATTAATTTCAGGCGCAGAGATAGGAATGACTGACTGTTTCTAAGCCTTCCCAAAGGACTGCACTGAGGACAACAACAACAACAACAACAACAACAACTTGTTTACCGACTACTGCTTGCTTCTGGCGCGAGGACCTTTTTTTCCCCCACAGTGTTTTGGTGTGAAAGGTGTATTGTTTACTAGCTGCTAACCTTTCCTGAGAGGAAAGAAGAATCGTATAGATATTCGGAGTTATATTGATAAAAGCAATGATGTAAAGAGTTTGGGGGGTGGGGGGGATTGCGTGCGGCGTCGCAGACAATGAGCATTCGTTTCAGAAAAAGAACGGAATCTGACACATTTTGTCCCACTCCATTGTTGAGTTGTGACTTTTTACAATGTTCACAACATTTTCAGACACACAGCAAATCAGAACTGCACGACCCCGTCCTACGACGCAGAATTACCCCGCCCCCCCCTTTTATAAATTAACTGAAATAGCATCACAGCTGTAGCTTCTGTCTTTTGTACTGAGAGTTTATTAGATTTATGGAGAGTTTGTATTTCTTTTCTCTTGTGTAAATAGCCCACCTGTGTAAATACCCCCCAGATGTGATATGTATTATTTATTCATGTCAAACGCACATTTCTCCTCTGGAGGTCACAAAACACCCAGGCAGGTTTTTATTTATGGATCCAGGGGTAGCTTAAGTCCACACCTAAGACCACCAAATTCAGAAGACCACTGGTGTTGAAGCAAGCACAATTTTCTCTGGAGGTGGATTTCATTTATAGCGTGTTTTAGTTTTGTGATGATGTAAAAAAAAAAAACAGAAGTCAAACATGCACTGAAGAGCTGAAAGACGCTTCACAGGGACACAGGAAGTTCTCCTCCTCATAATGCATGCTGATTACAGGGACAGCCTCCTTGTAAAATGAAGCAGTGTTTGTGAGTTTATCGTAGTGAAGATTTTAGATTTTAGGTTCCAGCAGTTTGTCATGGGTTCATGCACTGCTGCTTTTTTGTTTTTGTTTTTGCAAAGAAACTGACCAAATAGACTCAAAAACAGTGGCGGCATTATGAAAGAGAAGAGCCAAGCAAGTTGGACGAGGTGTGTCCTCGATGTTGGATGGATGTCCTGGGTTCTTACTCCTTTGTGGTCCCAAAGAGGGACTGAGATATGTTAGTGGTGTTACCGTAGGAGTAGAGTAAAGATGCAATATAAAGCATCAGAACTTTAGTCCCAGCTTCAAATATTTAAAAGTTGGGATGTTTTTTTTTTTTTCCAGGAGTTCTTTGTATTTTGTAATGCCTAATGTCTAACTTTTGTCCAGCTATGGTAGGTTTGTGGTACATAAATATTCCTACTAGTTTTTAGAAGCATGTACAACGTGGTTTGTGAACCCTACATGAGGATTTTTTTATTTCCAGAGTCGATGCACGCCAGCGAAGTCACATTTTTTTTTCCTCAAAGACTTCCGTCCCTGCAGAAGTGAACGCTCGTCCGTCAGGGCCCGTTGATTCTCACACAGAATGCATCCAAATGTCAGCTTTTCCTCCAGAAAGGTTCATTTGAAATGTCAAGTGCCCCACTCTCTTTTCCCCGTCGAGGGAATGCAAGTGTCGAAACAAAGTCGAACTTCTTTTGCAGGTATATTTTAATTTATTGATCAGACATGAGATATCAAATCTGAGAGGTATTGTCGTTTGAATGTACAAATAATTAATGTGCTTTTGTGTTTATATTTCATACGTATTTATTTCTTTTAGTGACACAGGTAGAGAACTCTGTGCTATGACCGGGAAACAGGGTTTCAATGTCTTTTGAATCTTGCAATAATAATATGACCTTACAAATATGTAAATATGCTTTAAAGATCAAAGATGAATTTATAAGAGTTTAAAAAGATGTATTCAAATTGTAAATGACATTTTCTCTATATGTGACACTGTAACAGCTCGTCATTCCGGATGAAATTATTTGTTAATGATTTTTCAACAAATCCAAACAGGACTGTTATGAACACAAAGAGCCCATCAGCATGGCCGGCACTACCACACAGCACAGTCAAATTCCTAGTAAGCAGAATTACCGAAAGCATCATCAGATACGGTCCATTCTGGTCTAACTGTTTGGCTGCAGTTCAGAATCTGTCGTATCCTTGCAGAAAAACGGTTGCACCTCAGTGTACAAAGACAGAGCTTTATACAAATGCATGTTTTCAGGTCCCATCTTTCTCAACATTTTCAAACAAATGTCCCTGAAGAAATTCTAACTGGAGTTAAGATTTAATCTTCTGAGACAGGAAACAAAGAAACATCTAGGTTTAGATCAGTGGTTCTCAACTGGTCTATTCAAAGGTCCTTCAACCAATCAGATTTATTGAATGAAAAAGAGTGCAGTTTGGACCACAGATGGAATGAAACGTATGACGGAACAAAGAGAAGCAACAAAACCAAGATGTTTTAAGAGAGCTTCATAGACTTTTACTTTTTTTTTTTTCTCCAGTCACATGTTCGCAACCCACTTTTAGATCCCGACCCACCATTTGAGAAGCACTGGTTTAGATCATGGTGTGACTTTATAAGCATTAACTTCTATCAAGGGGAATTCTATGGAGGCTTAATAACATCAGTGAGGAACAAGAACCAATAAATTCAATGTAAGAAGTGGCACAAGGGTTAGCAAAACAGTTATGACATTTGAACTCACAAGCTTCAATTACTTAGATACTTAGATTTTACAAATTAAACAAAGTGACGTAAGTCAAATTAAGAAGCAAAAATAAAAAAGTAATTTTTAACTATTTTAAGCTTTGAGTGAAACATTTTGACCATCATGTGTCTGACTCAGTATCACATCTTTTAAACTGACTAAATTCAATCGTTTTTCACTTTTAAACGTAGGGTTGGTCATTTTATCCAGCATACACTATTCATCACATTAGTTAAAACGGTCTTTAGTCACATAAAGAAGGAAGCGCTTTAAACGTGGACTGGTGCTAAGCACAGGGAGCCAACCAGGCATTTGATTGGTACTTTCCATCCAGACCTCATGGCAGTGATAGGTGGGAGTTTGTACAGGTTCTTTTTTCTGAGTATTTATGGCAGCATTTAGTTAGTTAATATCATGTGAGCACAATATAACTATCTTGTTCCCCCAAGTTAATATCTTGTATCTTATATTTATTCATTATTTAAATCTCCATTCATTATTTTGTGCTCGGGCTTTTCTTTTCTTCTTAATTTTTGCATATTCCTCTGACCTTTTCCCCTTAAGCTGGCTATTATCAATTCTAATAATAAATGTTACAAACTGCAGTTTTCAGGGATTTTCCTCTCTCAGAATCTACAATTACACACATGTTTTTTGTAAGAAGCCATAGGGCTAATTAAACAAAGTGTTATTTAATACATCTGAACTGTTCCAAAGTCCCAATGACTGTTGGTAGTCACTTGTTAACATCAACATAGGACCTTTAAGTATCTGTATTGTAGCATTGCTGGCACATACTAGTCTCTAGGAATAGGATCAGGTCTTGATAAGGTGACTAATAGAGCCATGCAGTCTCTTTGTCAGACATGATGCTGGCAATACGGCATAAATCATCCTTTAATGCCTCAGTATAAGCAGTATCTTTACAAACCAGGGCATTTTATTTTCCAATTTATTCATAAATATCAGAGACTATCTGTATCATGCACTTTATTGTTTTACAACTGACTATATCGATTATTTGGTTCATTACCTTCTGTGCTGCTATTCACTACATGGACCTAACACCTAAACATGGGGGTATCATGTCCTTAAAACCAACCAAACAACCACAAAGACGCTCACATTGAAAAGTAAAGAAGCATCTTGTAGAGGAGATTTCTTATAAATTTGTGATATTCACATGGATGATATTGCTATTGTACATATGTACATAGATAGGTGTAAATGTATTTATATATTTTTTGTCTCAATCTGTATATCTGTTGAATATATTTTCATAGATACTAGGTCTCCCTTGTACTTCCCTTTGTTTCGACGTGTTTGAGACCTCCGAAGCTAACGTCCTTTGTTTACTCGCATGGAGATATTTCAATATGATCAATTATTTATGGTAAATCTTTATGTCATTTGGGATGAGAGTCCATTGTGTTTTAGATGGCACTGGATTTAGTTCAAACTGGATGTCCTAGATGACTGCATGCTGTTGCTAGCATAGGATATTCGAGATGGAGAGTGAGAGTGTTTGCAGACGATACGGTTCTCTACGTGTCCAAGCGTTACCTCTTTCTACACAAGAAACTTTTCAATAGAATTGTTTACTTTGTGTTTAAGTGTTTCAAATGTACTTTTAGAGATCATTTTGCTACCTAAGCATTAATAAAGTTGTCTTTGCTTAAGGTAATAAATCCTTGTTGTGTGGTTCTTTTTTGTTGGATCAACGTACCCTTAAATGCACGCAGAAATTTGTCCATAACAAAGACCTCTGAATTGGAAACCAATTGCAGATTTGTCCGTTGAAACCAAAATCTATCTATGAATCCAGTAATGTGTGTGTGTGTGTGTGTTAGTCGAGAATCTACACAACCATTCCTCGACGACAGACTTGGCAGGTGTATAGCTGTGGACCTGAGGAAGTGCAGATGGGCTCATATTGTTGCTAAAACATTTTAAATAGTTTTCTGTGGCGCAGTACGATGGAATCAAAAACTACCGAGAAACACGACACCAGTGGAAACAACAGACACAGCGCATTTGCAGAAGGAGACTCGCCCAGTTATTTACACATACTGTATTAAGGTTGCTGAGTGGACTAGACAGGACACACTCGACATTGCAACATAGGTTTACCCTTTCGTTTTCCTAAATGGAGGTTATCTTAAGTACTAATCAGGTCCACCTTTCCATAAACAACACACCCACGCACAGAAGGAGACTCGCCGAAGGCAATGTCTTGAAGGTACACGTTCAATAACCGTCGTTAACAAAAGTCTAATGAAATCCCTCACTTAAAAGCTCATTTGGGCACTTTGATTGACCACAGAACTACATGTTGCATCTAGCCAATCCTGACCAGTCACGTTCTCACCAACACATTACAAACAAGCACATTCTGAACGGGCATTGCACTAGTTTATTTAAACCGAAAAACTGGCTCTCCTCACAGCCATCTCAAAACAACACATCCCCCAGTCTGCCGATCTCACAGACATTAAGGGTGCGTTCGAATTGTCATTTTTGCTTCGGAAGGTTCCTAACTGAGTGAAATTATATAAGCATTTAAGTGGCGGCCATGATAAGTTTGAATTCTCTAAAAGTTAAGGAAAGGTGGGTCAATGCTTCCTTTATATCCTCCTATAGCTTTGGATACACTGGACCATCCTTTACCAAAGGCGATGAGATATGCCGCCCCACAATTCCTTGCGGCCGCAACATTTAAAGTGAATCGTGCATCCGACCGTTCACGAACATTAACGATGATCGTAAAGTGACACAGATCATGTAAGGCATAAAAATACATTTTTAGCCAGATGATGTTTTATTCAACATATTTCATTCACTTAAGAATGCTTTGTGCAGTTGTATGCTTAAAATATTATGTGTAGGTTATATCTTGCATAAATGTAACAATTAATTTCATACTTATGTTGATGTTCTGAGTGGACAGGAATGTGATGGTTTCACTTTTGTTACTCGTACCCTGGTAGTGTATATTGCTTTTATTTCAATCCCAACCTTGTGGTAATTCCGAATATTTCACCGGTAAGAAGGCACAGGGGAAAGTTTTTTAGATGCGCTTTTTGGAGTCAATTTTCGGAACATTGTAGTTTCACCACAGCGGACCCACGTCATTAAGCTCCACTGGCTCGTCGCATTTAATGACGTCACCTAGTGGAAATGCGGTCAGATTGTCAGAGCAACGAGATCGCCTTTCCATAAGTCCTTTATGAATTCTCCTAACATCTTTCTTTAACCTCATGATGTTTTCCCCGGGGTTAAGGTAAAGTGGATGGTGAAAGGAGAAAGGAGGGACAATTCGAACGCACCCTAAATACCATGTTACTTGTTCTCTTGGGCCAATCAGAGAGGCGCTTCAATCAGTGCCAGATTGACTCCAGGTGTAATTAATCTCACCTCCCCTGAAGTGAATGAGACTCAAGCAGCAAGATTAATCAAATTTTAAAAAATACCAAACTTCACTTTTTAAGTCCAAACATATCAAAGAAAAAGAAAAAGAAAAATATTCAGTTTCCTTTGACTTCAAACAGGGAAAAAGTTTTATTTATAAATTAGGTCAAGTCAATATAAGTACTTTTAGTTAAATAAATTATTTACATATTTTGACACAAACATCGACTCTTGAGTGAGAGGAATGTGCACCTTCCGCTCAGCCTAGAACATCAACAGCTATCAAAAATCATAATTTTTGCATTGCAGACCGTATGCTCATTAACACACAAAAAAGGCATGGATTCTCTGAGCAGCTCATTCAGTGACAGACTGCTCCACCTGCTGTTTGTTAATGAGCTACTGCAGGTAGTAATCTCAGACTGTGCTCTAAATACTCAGCGACCCTCAGACAAACATCCAGCACACTACTAAACTTTTGTCAATGCACTACTTTCATTGCATTCTAAGACAAACACTTTGCAGATAGCACTGTTAGCAGAGTGTAGACACAGGAAATCAATCAATCAATCAATTTTTATTTGTATAGCGTCAAGTCATAACAAGTGTTATCTCGAGACACTTTACAAAAAGCAAGTAAAATACCTTACTCTTTGCCTTTAAACATTACAAAAGAGCAGGTAAAAGACCTTACTCATTGTTATGTTACAAAAAGCAGGTAAAAGACCTTACTTATTGTTATGTTACAAAAGAGCAGGTAAAAGACCTTACTCATTGTTATGTTACAAAAAGAAGGTAAAAGACCTTACTCATTGTTATGTTACAAAAATCAGGTAAAAGACCTTACTCATTGTTATGTTACAAAAAGCAGGTAAAAGACCTTACTCATTGTTATGTTACAAAAAGCAGGTAAAAGACCTTACTTATTGCTATATTACAAAGATCTGGCCTATAAGTTACAGTGGTAAGAAGAAACTGCCTTATTAAAAGGCAGAAATCTTCAGCCGGATCCCCGGCTCATGACGAATCAGCCTTCACAGGCCTAGACTGCGGCTTGGAAAGGGATAGGGGGAGAGATGGGATAAGATGCAGGAAGAGGGATAGGGAACAAGGGGGTGGGGGGAGGCGAAGCCGTCCATCAACAATCCGGTGGGGAGGGGGGTTGTTCTGGCAGGCCGTCAACCAACGACCTCGAGGAGCCTAAGAGAGCTCAAGAGCTCTCAGGAAAGTAGGTGGTTAGTGACTGAGATTTACAGATAGATACATGCAGTAATATGATGTACTGTATATGCACAGAGAGAGAGAGAGAGGAGCTCTCTCCTTATTGTATGTTTCAACAGACCTGTAGTATTGCTTAATATGTAAATTATGTAACCTGAAACTTATTGTATGTTTCTTTTCAGGATAGCTTTGTAATGTCTGCAGAGGAGTTCAAATGAAATGTAACATTTTGGTTTTATCAGGTGCATTAAAGTAAAGTTTATTAATGTGCAATGTTCCTATCAGATTAACCCAGTACAAGCTTTGGATTTCTTTATTTATCATCTTTTTCATCTTGTCATTTTCTGGACATTTTGTTTCCAGACATCAGGTTCAAGTTACTTTATTTATACCCACAGCTAAATTAGGTTGCAGGTAGAATCACTTAATTCAACACAGAAATTACATAAAACATACAAAGTTCAAATGCACGGTACATCACTAAAAGTGCTGAGGTGCAAAAAGTGTGCAGGTTCAAATTGCACGATTAATAAAACAAGTTGATCTGTAAAAGTTACAGAGAACACTGAAATAAATAATAAATGAATAAAGAACCTCGAAGAAGCATGATAACAGCTTCCCAGCCTGCTATCTCTGTCCCTCCAAGACCTTCATGAAATTACAACAACCACATCAAACAGCCAAGAGGAAAAACATGAGCCACACAGATACCCTACGACTTGTTCTGCTCTATACTGGCTGCTGGGAAAAAGCTGTTTCTTTAGCGCTTTGTTCTGCACTTTGGACGTAAGAGTCTTTGTCCAGAGGGAAGGAGCTGAAACTCAACAATGCAGAGGATGGGACTCATCTTTTAAGACTGAGCTGGTGATCCGCTCCAACTGCCTGGAGCTCTTGATTTTGATTTTACATCAAATGTAGCAAAAAAAACAAAAAAAAAACAACAAAAAACAGAAGGGCAAAGGTTTGACTTGTGGTA